GAACTGTGGAGAGGGGCTCAGGTCGGAGGAGCGGGGAGGCTGGAGCAGTGCCTTTGACGGGCCTGTCCCCCCAGGGCTTTTCCACTTTCTGCTTCCTGGCTACGGCTAGGTGAGAAGCTTTCCTCTGCCACACTGTCCCACCACACCACTGTGTACCTTTGCAAGCCTAAAGGTGATGGAGTCAACAACCAAGCATGCACTGGACCTCCGCAACCGGGAGCCAGAAGAGACTTGGCTGCCCTTAAGTTGATTTTCTCAAACATTTGTCGCAGTGACAAAGAAGTGATGAACTCCCCACCCCCACCCCACCCCTACCCTCCCACCCCCCATCACTCATTCTTCCCTCTGGGCCCCATCACTCTGGCGTCCCCCATGCCGAGGGATCACTTGTGAGAACCACAGTTATATTTCAAGTTTTAATTGCTATGCCATAGAGATCCATGAGACAAAAATGCCTCTGGTCCATAAGCCCCTTGCCCTAGGATGGATAGTTCCTGGAATGCTGGAGGCTACTGTTTATGGGAGAGAACAAGCCACATGTTTTCACTCCCCTGAACAGGTTTGTATGACCCATCTGTTCGAGTGTGCCTGATCACATGTGGGCGGGAGGCTCACAGGCAGGAAATGTGATGTGTGCTTGCCCCTGATTGGACCTGATGGGAAATGTGAATTGTAGGTTTGACCATCTTAAGCCCCTGCAAACCGTGACTCGGACCACTTCCTGGGAGCCCCAGGATGGACCTGGCCAGAGCCCATCCTCCTGGCCAGTATTTAATTAGAACTTGCTTCGAATTTGGTTTTAAATTATGGTAGTGGTCTTATTCTCGACTGGTGGGATTAACACACTGTGCAGTTAAGTCTCACTGCCTGGGATTCCATCCCCCTTCATCCCACAGTGCCCTCTTAATTCCTAGTCATTCTTCAGCTCTCAGCTCCTGTATTCCACCCCTCCCCCACGGCACCCCTCCCCCATGGGTTTCCTCTACCTACTGTCTTTATGCTCTGTGATGACTGGCCCTGATTGTAAACTTGACTGGACTAAGAGCTGGCTTAGACAGATGAGACTCAGTCTGTGTATCTGTTGGGGGCATTTCCAGGAAGACTGGCATGTGTGACAGTGACTAGGAGAAGAGACACACCCTGGATGTGGGTGGCACTTCCAGCAGGCTGACACCCTGGATATTAAGGGGAGTTGGTGGAAGGCAGCCTGTGTGGCCCTTTCCCGAGTAAGTGCTGCGGTTGGCTGACACAGACTCAAGCTTCCTCAGCCTTTCAGCGTGGACTCAACACCGGCCACTCTCAGGGTCTTCTGGGCTTTTGGTGCTGGGCTAAAACGCTCAGGTCCACTCCTCAGTGGAACCTGGTTCTCTGTCTCTCCAGAATCACTCAGCCTCTTCCTTCTGCCACTGAGGACACACTCCCCATCCGGCAGGCGAAGCTCAGCCAAAATGCCCACACCAGACGCCAGATGTTGGTGCCTCCATTTGAGCTTCTTGGCCTCTGGAAGTGTAGGAAGTTCATGTCTGCTGTGTACAAATATTGCTGTCATGTGGATTTTAAGTGTCCCCAAGGTCCATGTGGTAAAGGCTTGCTTTCAAGGGCAGTGATATTGGGAGGAGGTGGGGGCTTTAGGAGACAGAACCTGGGGTATCTGAGGTCATTGGAGGTATGGTCTTGAGAGGGAACAAGAGACTCCAGTCCCTTCCTCTCTCTCTCTCCTTCACCTCCTGGTCACACAAGGTGGATGCCTTTGCTGTGCCTTGCCAGGATATGCCTCCTCACAGACCTAAAGCTGTGGGCCAACAGACTGTGGACTCAAACCTCTTAAGAAGAGACCTTTTCTCTTTATGAGACATTTAAAAGAGATTTATGATGTTTTTCTTTATGTGTAGGAATGGTTTTGCCTGTACGTATGTAAGTGCACCACATGTGTGCCTGGTGCCCGAGGAGGCCAGGAAAAGGCACCGGGTCCTCTGGAGCTGGAGATACCGTCAGCTGGAGCCGCTGTGTGGTGCTAGACACGGAGCTGGGGCCAGGCTCTTAACCGCGGAGCCCCGTCTCCAGCCCCACCTCCTAGCAGTTTGTTTTGTTTTATTTTTCGGATTGTTGTTTGTTTGTTTGTTTTCGGAGACAGGGTTTCTCTGTGTATCCCTGGTTGTCCTGGAACTCCCGCTGTAGACCAGGCTGGTCGCGAACTCACAAAGATCCACCTGCCTCTGGGATCAAAGATGTGTGCCACCATGCCTGGCTACGTCATTTTAATTTAAATTGTTGTTAATTTCTTTTTTAAAGACAGGGTTGACTGTAGCTCAGTCAGATCTCAAACTCACTGTGTGGTCAAAGCTGGCTTCCAGCCCCTGTTCCTCCAGCTTCCCAAATGCCGGAATTACAGCTACGTGCCACCATGCTTGATTTCAGCTCTGGTGTCTCTGATACCTAACACAATTACCGAGACTCGGATATTTTATTATAGTAAGGCAAACACTGCATGTGTTTAAAAAACGATTGTATTTTGGAAATACTCTAATGCACAGAAAAGCAGAAGCGGTAATGAACTCGCGCGTACTCACCATTCAGCCTCAGCAACTGTCAAGATTCTGCCATTTCACTTTTTGACTGCCTGTGTGGTTCACACGGATCGTCAACTTGACAAGATCCAGAACCACCAGGCATGCCAGTTAAATTAGCCTCTGGCACGTGATGAAGGAGGTGGAAGACCCCTCTTTACTCTGGACAGCACCATTCCCCGGGGTGGGGTCCTGAACTAATTAGGAAGGAGAACGTGAGCTGAGAAGTCGCATTCATCTTGCTGTGCTCCTGACTGAGGGTGCGACGTGACCTGCCACCTCCGGCTGCTACACCGTGGCTCCGGCCACCGTGATGGACAAACCCTTCCTATTTAAGGTGCTCTCTGGGGTGTTTTGTCCCAGCAATCTGCAAAGCAGTGAATACACAGCACATCATCTTTTCTTTCTTTTTCTTCTCTCCTTCCCAGGTCCTCAGCATATAAGGAGATAAACGCTGTTTGAGGAGAAACTCTATGTGTAATGGCCCCCCGAACCGCACACAACCAGAATTCACCATGCAGGGTGGTGCCAAGGCCTTTGCAGAGCCTTCCCTTCCCCACACTTCATCTGTCTGTCTGGCCATCCTGGATGCTGCAAGCCACAGCAGAGGAACTGCCTCAGGTTCAGGTGCTAAAGTGATTTGGCCTTGAGCCCAGCCCACCCCCCCAGCCAAGCAAACACAAAGAGACGCATCCCACCGATTCACCTACTTGGCTGAACTGTGCACCTGGTAGCCTCCTCGGGAGCTTCCTTCTTGGGTATTTTCCTCTCCTACACAAAGTGCCTACGCCATCACTGGAGAAGGACAAAAACAGGAAAGTCCCATCTTACGAGAGCTAACAGTAAAGGCTGGCGTGGCCCAAATCCACAGCGAAGACGTGAGGGAAGGCGAGGGGTGTCGCTGTCCACTTCTGGCTAAGAAGTCTAGTAAGGAGAGGGAGGCTCACTGCCGCCAACGACTTCGACACTTGCCGATGTGAGCCGTAACGGGACAAAGGTGTTTATCCTGACTGGTGTCACAAATCATTTCGCAGCTGTCATTGTTGGCAGCTGCTGTGCTGGAGGGCTTGTGGTACATTATCGTCACCTCGGGGAAAGCTGTCACAGGCCAAAGCCCATTGTCATCCCAGGGAAAGGAGACGTAAGGGAGAAGAAGGCTTTTCTTTTGTGAGACCAAGCCCCATGCAGCCAAGGCTGACCCTAGGCCACCATGTGGCTGAGGACGCCCTGGAACTTCTGACCCACTGCCTTCAGCTTCCACGTGCTGAGATGGCGGATGCGTGCCGCTCTGCCCGTTTGTATAGTACTGGGGGTTGAACCCAGGGCTCTGCGCCTGCTAGGCAAACATGGAGTAACTGTGCTACATCTCTAGCCAGAACTTCTTAAGAGTCAGTCTAAAAGCATCTGAGGGCTGGTGGGGTGGCTTAGCGGGTAACCGCGCTTGCTGCTGGGCCTGGGGGCCTGCGTTCGTTTGTCCCTGGAACCCAGGGATGGCAGAAGAGAACCGGTTCCCGTCGGTTGTCCTCTGGCCTCATAGGAGCGCTGCGGTGTACATACACAGACACACTAAACAAAAGCGTCTGAAGGGCTTTCCAAAAAGCAGAGTCATAAAACCAGACCCGTGGGCAGAGGGCAGAGGCCAGCACAGAATGCTGGACTAGCAGGGCCACTCCGAGGCTTTTGTGTCCCAGCACCCCAAGGAAACAAACAGAACAATGAAGCCAGGCGTCTGTTACAGCCAGGGCTTTGTCCGTTTGTCAGTCCAGTCATACAACCATCACTAATGGTCTCCCGCGGCCAGATGACCTACCTGATCAAGCTAAGCATGGCAGTGCACACTCTAGTCCCAGCACTTGTGGGCGGCGGCCGGAGGAGTGCTGCAAGTCTGAGGCCAGCCTGGGCTACACAGCAAGGCTTTACCTCAACAAAACCAAAACCAGACAAAAGCCAGATGAACCTGTAAGGAATCTTACAAAACGCACTGTAGAGAAGACCAAATCCGGTCCCTGTGGGCCGCAGACTCCTCCGCCCACACTAGCCCCTTGTACCTGTCTCCCTCCGGCGAGGGGTGCCACAGACTCCTCCAAACTGTCCACCTGTGTGGTAGCCAGGCCATGTGGGGCTCGAGAGTCCTAAAGGCCAGAGAATCAAGTGACAGTTGTGCAGGGTAGGAGACTGGGGGCAGTGGGGGAACCAGAGGCTGAGAAATATGAAGGCCCCCATGCTACTGAATATCATTTTTCACAAAAAGAAATATTAACTTAGAAAAACCATCACTTCTTGGTCTTTGGCTAAGATCAAGTATAGAGAAATCATCATCCATGCACATGCTGGACTGTCCTTCTCCACCAGTGCAGGGGCTCTGCCTGCACCTTCCTCTGTGACCCAGGTTGTGATGTCACCCCCACTAGCCACGTGTGCTGTCCTCCTGAAGGCAGAGGCCACTCGCTCAGCTCAAAGTAGCACAGTTTGTGTGTTCCTCCATGTCCTCTCACAAACCCCTACTTAGTTCATATGAACAAGGAATGAAAGAGAAGGTAGGTGTGTAAAGGCATGTTACTGCAATTTGGAGGAGTTTCTTCTCAGTGCCAGGTGATACCGGGGAAATTTGGGGGTCCCTCTTGGGGTTAATGAAAACTCAAGGGCAATTTTATTAGCTTTTAAAAGAAAAGGCTCCAAATCCCACAAGCTGTACATTTCAGCAGCTTCTGGGTGAGGAGAATGGAGGAGAGAAGGCATGCTGTCTACCACACGGCAATAGGCAGTTGCATGTGTGTGTGGGTAGGTTGCTTTGGAAAAAAGTAAGAAGTTTGAAGTGTTGGGAAAGCATGCTTAGAACAGAGACGGAAGGAAGATGAGGAGAAGATGCAGTTTACTGGATAACCTAGAAAAACTGGAGGCTTACGAGGCTGTACAGCTGCGGCCTGGTGATCTACCGCACTAGGCACGAGGATGCTGGGAAGGAAAGCTACAGTATTTCATTAACAGACCGGTTATCCCGCCCATCCCCTATCATGGCAGGAAGGAGCCTCCTTCCTAGGAGTGGTCCTTTAGCCCAGCCACTTGACCAGCCTCCACTGAGGCCAGAGATTCTATTCTCTTGACCAGAAATTTCCCCTTAACCATCTTTTAGTTCTACTCTTGAAGTGACTAAGGTAATGCCATCTTGTTCAGACTCCATTTTGTGTCTGCTTAGACACTTCTTAGACAATCGTGTCTGTTCTGACAACATATTCATGATTTCCATGACCCTGACCATAGTCCAGATGTATTAATCAAATTGGTGCAAGCTAAACATAAAGTGAAGAAACTAAAAAAGGTATAAATCAAAATTAATCGTCGCCGGGCGGTAGTGGCACACGCCTTTAATCCCAGCACTCAGGAGGCAGAGGCAGGCGGATCTCTTTGAGTTCGAGGTCAGCCTGGGCTACAGAGTGAGATCCAGGACAGGCTCCAAAGCTACACAGAGAAACCTGTCTCGAAAAAAACAAAAAACAAAAAACAAACAACAACAACAAAATGTCATATTGTATCTGAAATAACTACTATGTTCCTCCAGAAACAAATGTTGCAAGGTTAGTTTGACTCTCACCTTAAATAAATGTAATTTTGGGTTTTGTGGGTTTTGCCTTTAAAAATGCTGGATCCTTGAGCTTCGTGACACTGAGATTTTCTGAGCATTAGGCCGCTCTTGGTTGCTGGCCAAAAATTAAATGACTCTTTTTTTCTTTTTGAGACAGGGTTTCTCTGTATAACCGCCCTGGCTGTCCTGGAACTTGCTCTGTAGACCAGGCTGGCCTCAAACTCACAGAGATCAGCCTGGCTCTGCCTCCCGAGTGCTGGGATTAAAGGCGTGCGCCACCATGCCTGGCTGGCTCTTGTACTCTTAATTGGCTTAATTATTGTGGTGGTCTGCTTCTTTCTTGTGTGAATTATTTTACTCTAACATCAAGACTTAAAAGCTGATGGTTTAGGCTGTTGAATTATAGCTGATCCAGTGAGATCTCAGATGTATCAAATAGGGCAAGAACATGACCAGCAGTCAAGGATTAAGCTTCGAGGCATTATGGACTGAGTTCAAGACGTGATTCTGCCTCTCTCTAACTGAATGACCTTGGACCAGTTACTTACCTTACCTTACCTTCCTCTAGCCTTCTTACCCCTGTCCAGCTGCTGTGGTTGGACATGAAAGGTCTTCAGAGACTCACATGCTGAAGGCACGATGCCCAGCTGGCAGACCCAGCCATTGAGAGGTGACTGGATCATGAGGGTTCTGACTTGGATTCATAATTTCATAGCCTATTTATTATATGGGGGGAGCTGGGCGAGGGTTGGAGGAAGAGTACCAGAGACTTGCAGGTAAGAGGTCTTTGTCTTTGATTTTTTCCTGTCTGTCTTAATGACTTTCCATTGCTGTGACAAAACACAATGACAAAGCAACCTATAAAAGAAAGTGTTTAATTTGGGACTTAGGGTTAGAGGGGCTTCGAGTCCACGACCACCATGGCCGGGTTCATGGCAGCAGGCAAGACTCTGTGGCCGTCGCTGAGGGTGCTCCGCTTGAGATACAGCCATGAGGCAGAGCCTGGGAATGGCATGAGTCTTTTGAAACCTCAAAGCCACACATCCCCCAGGACACACATGCTCTAACGAGGATGCACCTCCTAATCCTTCCCACATAGTTCCACCAAATGGAGCTCAAACATTCAAGCATGAGCCTAAGGGGGCCATGCTCCTTCAAACCACCACATGTCTCCCTGTTTCCTGGCTGCCATGAGGTGAGCAGCTTTTCCAACGGGACTCTTTCTCCACCATGTTCTACCTTCCCCTGGTCCCACATCAGCTCATGGAGGAACTGTGCATACAAATAAGTCATCCCTCCCTTTAGTTATGTCAATGACTGAGGCACAGTGAAAAATCCTGACAAAAATGTCACCAACCCCACCTCAATCCACCCCACATCCACCTTGCTCCAGCTCTACACACTTCGGTCTACCTTAGACCACCTTGCCACAAATTCACTCTGACTGTTAGTGAAAACTGTAATGATCACATTAAACACATGGGAAGTTATGTGGGATAATTAAGAAAATGCAGCTGGGCAGTGGTGGCACACACCTTTAATCCCAGCACTCACCAGGCAGAGGCAAAGCGATTCTCTGTGAGTTTGAGGCCAGCCTGGTCTACAGAGCAGCTTCTAGAACAACCAGGAGTGTTACACAGAGAAATCCTGTCTTGAAAAACAAAAATAACAACAACAAAGTTAACCTTTAAGTGCTGAAGCGATGGCTCAGCAAAGGACCCGGGTTTAATTCCCAGCATCCACGAGGCGGTTCACAACTGTCTGTAACTCCAGTTCCAGGAAATCTGAGACCCTCTTCCATGGCGTGTGGACATAGATGCAGACAATACTTCTGCACACAAAGAATGAAATAACTCTTTGTGGGGTGGAGAGTACCACACGTGGTGGCACACGCCTATAATCCCAGCACTCAGGAGGCAGAGGCAGGAAGATTTCTGAATTCAGTACTATTCTGGTCTGGTCTATATAGTAAGTTCCAGACCAACCTCAGAGCTGCATAGTGGGAGTGTATGAAGGAGGAGGGGAGAGACAGAGACAGACAGAGAGACAGAGAGAGACAGATGTTTCTTGCCTTTGGGGTCATCCTCTTTGGCCACCAGTTTATGAACCTTCTGTGCCTGGGGCTCCCATTTCCCTGCAATTCAGGGCTCCCTCCTTCAGGAAACCCTCTCTACTCTGTCTTAAGCAAAGATAGAAAATATCTGGAATTAGATATAATAGAAGGTATTCTATGCACTAAAGATAAAATTATCTGGCTATGCGCCTGCCTGTGCTAGTAAATTACAAACACTTTGGGGGAAGACTCTAGACCTTTCTGTTTTTCTATCTCTGATGCATGTGCCCGGTATCAGGCCTGCTCCGGACAGGAACTCAGCTGTCTTAATGATCACAGCAGGCGTTTCATCCCAGACTCCACTTTAACCTGGAGCCACCGAAGCCTGGCAATGACGATCTCTGAAATTTCTCTGGAACTCTGCTTCCTTCTCTGTCCCCTCTGTTAATATTCTGACTGGCCCCTTGGGGCCACCCTGTGTCCTGATGTAAAAACCTCATTTTAAGGAAAAACTCCTCCCTTTCCTCTCTCTCTTCCATGCTCTCTCTCTCTCCATTCCCACGAGGTGTGCACATCTCCTATCCCTCTCCCTTCTCTTTCTTCACTGTCTCCCTCATTCCTATCTTTCTCTCCATCTAGTATAATAAACTCTCCACGTGGATGCAGCGCCTGGATGTGCATGACTTTCCATGCACAGCTGTCCCCACTGCATCTGTCCAGCATGTTTTCCCTCACGCATGGGCTCTGGTCTGGTTAGCCTTGGGTCCCTCATGTGCATAATTCATAACACCCTCCGCAGTCCAGGTTCGCTTGGGCTTCTGTTATTCCTGGAAATCTGACTTAGACCTCCTTCCTCCAACATTCGCTGTGCACGATTCCAGTTCCTGTCTGGTTCCTGACCTACTGACTTCATTGAATCACACTTCTCACGGAAGTCCGAGCTACACACCCTCTGCTCACGTGCTTTCCATGTCTTCAGGTGAGGGAACTTCCACGGCCTTCCACACTGCTTCCCACCTCCTGCCTCCTCACAGCCCCCGAACTGTTCCAGCAGCTGTTCCCAGGCTGTGCACGCCCTGGACAGGCTCTTCAGACACTCTCTTTGCTAGGAGCACCCACTCCACCTCATCTTTCAAGATCAAGTTCAGTGCCCGCCCGTGAGATGGTGCGGTGGATAAAACTGCTTGTCTGGCAAGCGTGTGTCCCAAGTTCAAGCCCCAGGACCCACTGGGGAGGAAGAAAACAGACCCCGAAAGTCTTCTGACCTCTACATGCCCCTCGGCATGCAAATGCCCACATCCACTCACATATCTCACACATGGACACCTATATTACATACACATCACACATATTACACACAAACACCCATCCTGTGTGCATCACACACATTACATACACATCACATACATTACACACAAACACCCCATCCCATGTGCATCACACACAGGGCATACATACACACATCACACACATTACACACACACACATCACACACATTACACACACACACATCACACACATTTCACACACACACATCACACACATTACACACACACTTCACACACAGGGCATACACACCACACACATTACACGCACACTACACACATATTACACACATAGCACATACATTACAAGCATTACATACATCACATACACATCACATACACCACACACACAAAAAACACACACCACATATCAAGTTGAGAAATCTCTTCTTGAGGAGACATGAGCCATTCATTACACCTCTCCCACACAGATCTACTCCTTGCCTACACGCTGTGCCTCCAGGTTCTTTAAGAACTGTTATCCGCTACACCTTCTCCCCAGACCTCCTGGCACCCCACTGTAGCACCCAAAGCAAGCGCGTGCACCGAGTCACTCAAGTGGTCATCCGTTTCCTTCAATTTAATAGTCGGCAGCGTGCAACACGTTCACTGTGCGTCCTCTCATCTTAACAATGGGAATGAAGAGCTCCGGGGATATGCCGTGCCTGGCCCCCAGCCACTCCGGACCTAGACTTGCCAATTAGGAATCTTATTTACCCATGGCACTTAGCACTTGGCAGGGGAGAGCAGGACTTAAAGACAGGGAGTGGTTTCCCAAGTGGACCTCAGGCCGCCCAGCTCCAGAGCACTCCATGCTTGGTGGACTGCAGCTGTTCTCTCCACAGCGGAGGCCAGCCGCATTGCTCTTGATGGCAGCTGTGTGCCTGGCTGCCTGTGCTGACCGGCCTGGGTGGTGATGGAGGGCGCAGCACAGGCACCGGCTTGCGTGCAGACCTCTGCTCTAGCGCATGGCCTGACTCCCTGGCACTCTTACCACAGCTTAGGTTACGGCTTAGCCAGGCGGACTCAGGAGAACTTGTCCTGTTGGGGAGGTGGGGTCCCATGCAGGATCTGAGGTGGGAGACGCATGGGCTGAGCCCCGTCAGGGGAGGTAGTGCTAGGTAGGCAGGGGTAGCGGGCCAGCTCACAGAGGGGTGTCCCTGAGTGCCGAGGGTAAGATGGGGGTGTGTGTCAGTGTGTTGACGGTCAAGCTGTGGGACAGACAGGATGGGCTGACATTTGTACCCTATTCCCCCTTTGCTTTTTCAAGACAGGGTTTCTCTGTGTAGCCCTGGCTGTCCTGGAACTCACTCTAGACCAGGCTGGCCTCGAACTCCCAGAGATCCGCCTGCCTCTGCTGCCACCTAAGTGCTGGAATTTACGGCGTGCGCCGCCACTGCCGGGCGATATTTGTACCTTTTGCTCCTGATTGTTGGCTTGTTCCTGTGGAGTTTCCAACGTGCAGCGAAGCCATGGCTGTTGTGGTATTCTCCCTCTGCCTCTCTGGCTGAAAGATGCCCGAGTGTCGAGCAGTATCAACTCCAGCCCGAGGTGGCAGAGAGTCAAGTTAAAGTCCCCCGATTTCTTAGCCCAAGCGCGTAGGTAGTTACTTCTTCCTTAGTGGTTTCCTTGGCTGGAAGGCCTAGTGATCCCACTTCAGAGTGCCGCTTCGGAGGTTGGAAGCAGTGCCCTGGTGGAGAGGAGGCCAGTGGATCGCCGGAGAACACTGGGGTGGTTTGGCCGTGATTATTACCGTTCATTGCAACAGCAGGTCACAAGCTGGGCGTGGTGACTCAACCTGTGATCCCAGGACTCAGAAGCTGAGGCAGGAAGACACGGGTTTGAGGCCAGCCTGGACGGCATACTGGAGCATGACCTCGTCTTATAAAACAAACAAGAAAACTTATAATTTTGTGTAACTGGAGCATTTAATGGGCCTCTTCCTGTTACCCTGGGGACGATGAGTCAGGGCACAAGGGTAAAGACGCACTTAAAGATCTCTAGTATCCCATTCTGTAAAGAGAGCCCCAGCATGGTAACACCCAGTACTGCTTCTCAAAGGGCTACAGAGCCGGCCCTGCCTTCCCAGCCAGCACCACACTGCTGTGTGAGGCTCCACAGATCACCCCACCAAAGACCACCACTCACACATGCAAAGGCAAGAGCATTTATTTCTCGAGAAAAGAATTCCTGTATGCAGGAGTCAGCCACACAACAAAGTGGTGAGGACCCCCAGAGAGGCTCGCAGGGTCCTCTTATAGACAGCCAAGAGGGGATTATGTCATCCTAAACAGGACTGGCCAAGCGAGCAGCAGCCACACTAATGTGTTTCTGATTGACTGGGACTGTGAGTGCTGAATCATGCCTGGTGTGCCCTACCTCCCTCACCTGCCTTATCGGACACTGAAACAGAGACCTAAACAAAAACTGAAACTCAGGCCTATTAAAGACTGGGGCCATGAGAAGCCCACCATGGTTGGTGCTACCGTGGCCTCTCATTCCCCCATCTCGAATCCTAGAGATGTCCCGGTGTCAGGGCCCAGCGAGTCCTGACCTGGTGCTTTGTGCTGCTGTCTTAGGACCAGCAGCTGCACTGCAGAGATCTGCTTTTTGACAAACTTGACCAGAGCATCGATTATACAGGGTCCGTAAGTTAGGGCCAGCGTCAGAAGGACCAAGGCAGATACCAGAGTCGTCAGTCAGAGAAGAGTGACTCATGCCACCCCTCACTCCGTTGCTTTTTGATCTGTCTATCATGCAGCCTTTTTCTGAGGAGGGTCATAGAGTCTTTGAGTGGTTGGCATGGAACCAACATTGTTCTCCCAGAGTCAGACAGAGACCTCCTACTTGTAGGAACAGCAAGTCTAGTCCCCGTCTATTCTGGAGTACTACCTCTGCCAAGGAAGAGGGGAACTCTTCTAGATGGGTGATAGATTTTTCTAGAGTGGCTATGTCAGCATCTATAACCACACTTAAGGATCTGTAGTTCTGGTCCTGGAGAATGAGAGCTGATGTTCCAGCACCTGGAGCCCCGGCCAGGCCAAGGCCTAGGAGAAGGATACTAAGATAGCCATGAAAACCTCCCATTCGTCCCGTTCTGGGGGTCCTAACTGGTAGAAAATCTCCTCCTTGTGGTAATAGGTTGTCTTGGGGACTAATGGCACCAAGACACAGAAATCCTGAGTGTGATTCAGAACTTGGGCGTGTACGCAGCGGGTTAGGCTGGTGGTGCAAGCCCACCAGGCGTCATCTGGGGGAACTGGGGGAACCTGTCCCTGCTGGACTCTGAGTCTCGCTGCACAGATTGGCAAAAGTGGGTGGCCTGGGGCCGGCCTACGCAGAGGCCATTCTCTGTCACAGACCGTAAGGCGTGCCTCGCTTTGCCTGACTGTTGCCATCTGCGTGACTGGTGTCGAGGAGTCGGTACAGTCTCCCATTGCTGCGATCCCTTCGTAAGGGGAGGGTTAAAGCCAGCAGGTTTCAGTGAGACGGGTTTTGAGGCATTTAAAACCAAATAGGAAGCTTTTAAAAGATTTAAAGGTCCTGGATTGGGGGGTAGGTCCGTGGGGGCAGTTTTACGTGTCAATGACAGTGTTGTAGTTTCTGTGGGCCTCGGGAGGCGGGGCATGGGTCTGGTCGGGCTTGCTACCTTACTGGGGCCCTGGGGCTGCCATGGTTGTAGGGGCTGGGTGTCTAATTGTAGGGTGAATAACGCTCCCACATCTGCGGGTGCCATTCTGGCCTTGTCGTACAGCCTTAAACCCAGGTTTTTCCTGATGTCCAACCAGAGGCCTTTTTGCCAGCGTCAGAAAATCGAATCAATACCGTGTTGCACGCCCCCTTTCCACCAAGCCCAGGGTGACAGGCCGGTTCATATGCCCTTTTTACTCTGATAAGGTCCCTGGTCTTTGGGGTCTCCCAATAGGTGTAACCTGTGGAGACACAACTCCATAAGGCACAGAAATAGTCACTTGCTCCCCACGGGTCCTTTCCTGGGCCTTAGTTCTATCATGTCCAAGGCAAACATAGAAATAGAGATTGTGGTGATATTTTATTTGTGCTTTAATAAAGATTGCCTGGAGATCAGAGGAAATAGCAAGCCATTATAAGTAAACACAGAAGTCAGGCAGCGGTAGCACACGCCCTTAATCCAATCACTTAGCAGGCTGAGTCTCTGTGTGTTCAAGGCCACACTAGGGAACAGAGCCAAGCGTGGTGACACACTCCTTTAGTCCCAGTACCAACCATAGAGGCCTGGAGGTCTGTGCAGACAGACAGAAAGTGACAGAGCTGCATAGGAAGAGGAAGTGAGGTAGCTGGGCTAAGAGCCAATGAGAGGGCAGAACAGCAAGGCAATAAAGGTGTGGGTAGACAGGAAGTAGCTGGCATTTAGAAGCTGCAGAGTTGGTGAGGTAAGGTTGGCTGGTGGCTTTCCCTATTTCTCTGATCTCTAAGGCTTTCACCCCTATATCCATGTTTTTTATTTAATAAGACCATTTTAGAAATTCGTCTACAAGAGATAATATTTTTGAATAAACAAGTCAGTATAGACATACCCATGTGACACCTGGTTCACCATTTTGGTGAAAAGTGCCCCCAAGTCAAAGTACAGATCAGGAAACCAGGTTCCCTAAGGGGGCAGATCTAATTTAGGACCTACCTCAAGTCTGTATTGGTGACCTTCCATCACTTAGCTGGTTCTATGACTTTCTGGATTTTTTTTTTTTTTTCTCGAGACAGGGTTTCTCTGTGTAGTTTTGCACCTTTCCTGGAACTCACTCTGTAGCCCAGGCTGGCCTCGAACTCACAGAGATCCGCCTGCCTCTGCCTCCCGAGTGCTGGGATTAAAGGCGTGCGCCTTTACTGCCTGGCTGACTTTCTGGATTCTTAATTTGAGAGGGTCCTGTGGGTGTGTTACAGCCCTCCACAGTCCAGGGTTGGCCTCCTCCAGGGCGTAGTCCTCAGGATCGGTGTGTGGATCTACAGGCTTCACGGGGGAGCGGTGTATCAGGTAGGGATCCATCCACTTTGACGGCTGTGGGCATTGTCAGGATGATGGTGTAGGGTCCCTTCCAGTTGGGCTCCAAGGTCTTCTCTCGGTGTGCGGTTACTCCCCGCTCAGAGAGCTCAGCTGCCGAACTCCCCTCTCGCCCCTCAAAGCGGCGTCTCCCTTGTGTGTTCCCAGTCCCTGGCACGCCCTACTGGGCAGCTCCTCTGCCCAGAGCACTAAGACAAGTGGTACCTGACCACCTTCCCGGCAAAGTGTGGCTCTGTGCTTGTTGCCGTATCTCGGGAGGGGTGTTGTTAGTTTGTTTGACACAGTCTCTCTGTGTAATCCTGGCTGGCCTGGAACTTTCTATATAGACCAGGCTGGCCTCAAACTCACAGAGTCGGCCTGATTCAGTACCTCCTCAGTGCTGGGGTTAAAGGTGTGTGCCACCATGCCCAGCCCCCATGGCTGTTGATTCTAGGAACACAGTGCAATGTCTGACCTTGAGAGGGTCATTCCCAGGCCTGGCTCCTGACAGGAGGCAGCTGACAGTTCTTACACCATGTTGTCTGCACGGTAGCCCCCAGTTTCCAGGGCCTGCTTCTGGCAGGAGGGGGAAGGGGTGCTAGCCAGCAGGAGCCAGCTTCCCACCGTCCTGCCCCAGGCACAGGTCTTATCTGCTTTGACTGCTGCAGATGGTTGGTGGCAGAGCTGGGCTGGCTGAAGAGGAAGGCAGAGGTATCTGCTGTATGCCCTACCCGGTGACTTCTCCATAATTGTATTTATATTTGTTTTGTTGTAGAGATAAATAGTTGCATTTAAGGAAGGAAGTGGAAACAGCAATTCCAGCATCAGGAAGGAGGTAGAAGCAGAAGAATAACAAGGTGGAGACCAACCAGGTCTATAGAGAGAAATTTTGTTATAAATAAAGGAAGAAAATATAAAGAAAAGGAAAAAATAAAAGATTCTTGTACTCCTGCAGCCCTGCTCCTCTCTAAACTGTTTTTCTTTCTGGTCGATACTATGGTTAATCCTGTAACTGTAACGAGTATGTCCTACATCTTGATTTTGCCAGTATGCAGAACTGGGAAAATGAAAAATGAACACGTTGATGCCTCCTCCTGCCTCTCAGCTTCCCCACCCACCGACTTAATTTACTCCAGCCCAGCATTGTATAAGGCTGGGCTATGAAGCACTTAGCTGAGATTCAGATTCCCCACTGCTGGACAGGTGTTTGGGATTTGGGGTGTATAACAGTTACTCTAGTTCGTTTTCTTGCTGATACTGTGAATTGAACCTAGGGCCTTACACATGGGCCACAGGGCTATTTGCTGGCCCAGTCTCTAGCTGATTCTTGTGCACACTGAAGTTCCAGCTTGATCATCCTCAGGCCTCACTTTGAAACTGTATTCACGTCACCTTTCTCCCCTCTGTGACAAAAGCAACTTATGAAAGGAAGGATTTGTTTTCTGTCATAGTCTAAGAAGCTACATCACTGTGGGAAGGCTGGCAGCAGGAATGGCCGATGTCTAGAGTCCACATGCTGGAGACAGGGACAGGAGCTGCATCGCTGTGGGAAGGCTGGCGTAGGAATGGCCGACAGCTGGCCACACTAGGAGGTGGCACAGCAGTGAAGAGCACTTGATGCTCTTTCAGAGGACACAAGTTCAATTCTCAACACAACCGTCTGTGATTCCGGTTAAGGGGCTCTGATGTCCTTTCTGGTCTCTGAGTGCACATGCAACCTAAGTACACATCTACACACACACACACACACACACACACACACACACACACACACCCCACAACTTTAATCCCAGCACCTGGGAGACAGACAATGCAGGTGGATTTCTGTGAGTTCAAGGCCAGCCTGGTTTATATAGCTAGATCTAGGCCAGCCAAAGCGACATGGTAAGACTCTGTCTCAGATAAATAAACAATTTTAAAATTTTTTTTTTTTTAAAGAAAAGGAACCATAAGACCATCTATACAAATTTGGAAAAAGTTGACACAGAAACATTTGACAAAATAAAAGTTCCCCTTCGTGATAAAACATGTAATCAACTGGGAACAGAGAGAGAGCTCTCAGTCTGGAAAGGGGGTCTAGGGAAGTCCACAGCTAACAGGCAGCTCTTCCGGAGACCCAAGAACGCTGTGACACTTTTCAGAGCTGTGACTGCCCTCGGCTAGCATCCTAGTGCTGTGAAGAATTCAAACCTGCTTTTTTCGGAATTGTCAACCCCCACATGGCAATCTGTTCAAATTGTTTGTTTTAGGGTTGATAATAAAGCACCCCCCCACCACACACACACTGTAGTCTTTGCTGTCTGCCATGCCATCCCTGGAGGGGGGAGGGACAAACGCCTGGCACCTGAGTCATTCAAGAACCGGGAAGTCACCGGCTCAGAGTGACTTGGGTTTTGAGTTTCCAAGGTCTTAGTTCTCTGGGTTAAGCCGACATGAGTCAAGAAATAGAATCTCTCTCACTCATAGACCCCACAACGATAGTATCAAACCCAGTACTTTGTACATACATAGAAATAAATGGTGCTAAACACAAAAGGAAAGAGGTCCTGCTTCCGAGGACTAGACGATTAAAATCTTCAGATTAAATGCAACCCATATTCACATCCCAGCTGCCTCTTTTGAAAGACAGAAATGGGTAAGGTTATTCTAAGTTTCATATGGAATTGGACAGGACCTGTGATCCCAGATACTCTACCTGAAGCAGGGGAACCATAAACTCAAGGAGTTCCTGGGTTACAGATTGAGTCTGAGGTCACTTGGAGGCCTTATATAAAAATAAAAAAGGCTGTAGATACAGACCCGTGGGCCAGCACTTGCTCCTCATATTCAATCCCCAGCTCCACAAAGGGAAAAAAAAACCTACAGAGAAAAATAGTTATGAAAACAACCATGTTAAAAGGTTCACTCCTGATATCAGTAATCAACATGATGTAATTCTTGTGTGAGCCTCAAGGT